GGACCGAAAACGGGGTTTTTTGCTTTCGAATTTTATCTTTTTGTTTTCTTCTATAAAACAAACCAAGCAATGTTTCAATTAACTCTTATGACCCTGTCTTTCTGACACTTATAATTAAAGACAACCTTAAACATGTTTTATACCAATTTTATCGGTTTATATCTTTCTGATTTAACTCTCCCACTTACTGTTTCTCATGTATCACGAGCAAACCATCCATATGTTTCATGGAAAACAAACAAGGATTATGTGGTTCCCTTAGTTAACAAGCGACGCTCTAGTGATCAACTATCTATGGGTATCGGGAGGCATGGACCGAAAACGGGATTCTTTGGTTTTCAAAATTTATCTTTTTCTTTGCAAGAATTCTTCTCATAAAAAAAACTAGAACGTCCAAGGATACTTCAAAGCTTCAAACAACTTCTGCCTTTTTGAACTATAACTTAAACAAACACTAAGCATGTTTATATGTTTTTACTTAGTACCTTTACAACGTATTTTATCATAACTCTCTCGTGATGAACGAGAGCCTCATTATACAATATGACTCTTTCATCATGAACGAACGCATCCATGGGCTTCACGGAAAAAAGGGATTATGTACTTTGTTATAATCGTTTCTACAAAGATAACATTTATTAAGCTAAGAAATTTGAAAATAAATATATTTGAGTTATTAGGAAATAACAAGTCGAGAATTCATTGATCATACTCATTCCAATTGGTCTGAAACAACCATGACATTAGTAATTTGACCATCCAACCCTTTATCAAGGGCTATATTATTAATTAACGACAGTAACTTCATACGAATTCATTGATATCATACTCATTGAAAAAATCATAGCTCATGGTCGTTGAGTCAATTTTTCAATTCTTAAATCCAGTGAACATATATCATTTAATGACTGCATATTCATATGACATTCATATTGAAAACATGAGAACAATATTATGCTATTGACTTCATATAACGACAGTAAACTTCACCTGATTTTTCAGGTTACGTTAAATTGTAGCTAATGCGAAGATCATCTCTAATTTTAGTAACTTCATACGTCGTTCTTGCTGAACACCTTCAGGTGAAGTAGGATCATCAATAATCTGTTATATATAAAAACATAATTTATCCATAGAATTATAGCAAAGTTACGATGAACAGATGAGAGTTATTAACGCTATAAAACTTAAATTCAATATATCGTATAAAGTACCTCAAATCCCGACGATTTCTCGTATCGAAAGGATTCTAAAGTAAAGGTGAAAATTAAGATGAGAAATTTCGAAGAATTGAAACTAGAGAATTTTTCAACAAAAAAATGTTGAAAATACCTGTACACTACCATAAGATTTTTCAATGTCTATGCTCTAAAATAATAATCATTAAAACGACAATTTCAAAAGTATTTGTAACATTGGTGAAAGATTCAGGATGAACATGAAACCTTCTCAGAATACGATGGAACGAGACCATAACCATTTTATGTGAACTTCTTTCAAACAACGTTTGCGTAATCCGTTAGCATACCATGAAAACTACCTTCTGGTTTAGGCGACGCTTTACTAGCAACCTCCTCAACGTCTTCAGGACAATTAACGTATACTGAACTGGTGTCACAAGACTCAATGACGATGACCAACCACTAGCCATACCTAACATGTTACCACCAGAGATCTTTCTTGGGTAGATGAAGGTTTTAGGAACTTCAGACAAGGGTTGTGTTGAGCTGAGAACTAAAAAAAGAACAAATATGGATAGATGATGAAGTGGAGAACAAGAATAGAGGTTATAGAAAACACACTACGTATGCTCATTGGTGTTTCACAAGAGTATACATTACAGGATAACTATGGATCCAAGTAGTCTAAACAACTAGGTACATTTAAGCAATCCATCTTTCCCATGGTAAACACACGTGTCAAAAAAACGTGATCAAATTAAAAAATTCGTGCAATCAAATAGTCGGACATGGTATTGTATTTGTAGAAGAGAGCCAATAAATTAAAAAGATTCTCTTGGGGCACTTGTAAATATTAGTTTAGAAATACAGATCGACTAATTATAAAGGCAGAAGATGTAAGAGTGAATAAAAACCATTTCCCGTCAAATCAAAGGAAAGCTTGGATATGACATGCAATATGCAGGTATAAAGTTGTAGAGAAAAATAAAAAACATTTTTAACGTTGTCACGGATATTACGAATGCCGTGACAAAGTGTTGACGAGTTTCACATGCATTTGTAAAAACATGTTTCACATGCATATGGAGGATAAAGTTTTTAGATAACATGGTTAAATAACATTAGCGAAACTTTCAATAAAAGATCACTCCTGACAAATCATAAGACTGGAGCATATTGTGACTCAAGTTTCAACATTCGATCACTCCTGATGAAGACACTACGCTAGAGTATATGTAAACTTATCTTTCAACAACATATCGTTCATGCTCAAGATATTAGACTGACGTACGACAATCTCTAATGTCATATAAATCTCGATAAAAAAATCTGGTCCCCGGAGTTGACATGCTATCAGATAGGCAACAAACAAAGATGAGATAGCAGTACAAACCTGTATTATCGCAGCAAAGCTTCAAATCTTTAACAAGATGATTATAGATGTATAACATGAAAATAGCGATCAATATTAGTAAAGTTGGCTTAAGGATGTAATTTAATGTAAACATACGTTGAAATTAAACAGTTACAATTAACTATATCGTATAAATATCCTTCCCTATTTAAAATAATCTACACATTATCCTCAATAACGAACTATACACATTGCTGCATTTGACCTCGGTGTGTTGGGGAAACGTCATGTAAGGAGTCTCAAAGTACCAATATAAATTAGCAAACTTTGTGATCTATCTTACCAAATTGACTTAAATTGAGCAATAAAAATCTTAATCTTCAACAAAGCATATCCAAAGATTTCTATGAATGTATAAAAAGTATACAATCGTTAAAAGATCACGCTTGCACGCTTTTTCTTCACCAACTGAGCAAAGATTCTCTTTTCTTTGAACTGCTTGTCAACAATCATTGAAAGATTATTCAAAAACTCTTCTGAGGTTATCGTTTGTGCCTATTACGTAGGTTTGAGGGACAATGTAAGTACATGCATGTACAACAAAGAACACAGGTGAAGGCTTTAATTCGTATTACTTACTTTCGAATACAGCGCATGTGCAAGGAATGGCAGTTTACGAAGAGTTCGACCACTTAGTTGATAACTTTTCGTAAACAAGAAAATGAGAGAAAGAATACTTCGTAGGTTTATCACAGTGAGACGCTTGACTGCTCCTTGCAAGTTCAAAAGGAGAAGAGCCTCCCAAAGAAACCTAACCAAAAGTCAACCAATATTCGTGATTATTTGAGAGTGGTCCATTACTTGATAATTACTGACTACGATAACAAAGAAAAAACATCTTTACGCCTTAAATGTAGATGTAATACAAAGTTAAATTTTATTTATGTTGCAAGTATTAAGACGGTATATTTTAAACCTCAGTCCTAAATTATTTGAGAACTCATCTGAACATGCACAAACAACTCAACAAACTGTTCGAGTTTACAATCATGGCAATGACAAACAGAACAAGCTTGCATCCTTCTGTGGTTCATTTGGTCACATATTGGGAAATCATATATTTCAATCATAATGAGAAATTTAGTCATTTAACAAATTTTTCATATTCATAGTGATGGCAACAACAAGCTGGACCTATTTTCATCACTTTCTGAGTAATTAATCGCTTCGTCACAAAAATATAAGAAGATCATCTGAGCATGCGCAGTACGCTAGGCGCAGCACGCTCAAGCATGCAAAGTCCACTTGACCAATTGTCCGAGTTGATAGTCATGGAAACGACCAACTACATTTACTAGCATCAATTAGGAGTATATAACTTGCTTATTAACAAATTATTAAAGATATCAACTGAGCATGCGCAGTTAAATTGATTGGCTGCCAATGTTCATGGTCATGGCAACGACCAATTGCATCTACTAGCCCCGATTTTGAAGTAAATAGCATGTTTAGTAACAATTTAATGGAGAAATCATCGCTCGTGCGCATGCGCAGCCCACTCGACTAATTGTTTATAGTCATGGCAACGACTAACTAGATGTACTTGCACTACATCTGGGGCAATTATCCCACTTAATCGCAAATTATCAAAGAAATTATCTGGCATGCGCAGTTGTGACTATAATAATACCACAACTTTCGTAAGCCTCTAAATTTTGTATATATAAATATAAATCTATAGCTTCATATAGTAGATGTCAACTATCAGTGGAAGCTGGGTGCGATATAGTATGCAGTGGCTTAGGGGTCCACACTTCGGTGGCGACCGCACTCTCCTGCGTACCTCGAGCAAAGCCTATCGCAGGTGATCTCGGGGTCTGATGGGCGGAAGCTTGCTATTGCATCTCCCAAGTAGGATAGCGTGGAGGGCCGAAATCTGCTACCGAAACGTTAACATGCCGCGTTTTAGTGCCTTACGCTTAAGAAGGTATCGGGAAGCATGGACCGAAAACGGGGTTTTTTCCTTTCAAAATTTGTCTTTTTTCTTTACAAGAATTCTTCTCATAAAAGAAACTAGAACATACTGCCAAGGTTCAGACAACTTCTGAAAATCCCCCGGGCGTAGTTTCGTTTTCTTTGTAAAACGAGAAGAATACTAACTTGAAAACATGAAGACTGGGTGACATAATATTTACCATAAACGAAGACAAGAAATGTTTATTTTACTCTGTGACATCACTTTACTTTAAAGTGAAAGGTTTGAACATGGGAGTATCGTTACATGTTTGTAGATGTAGATCGTCCAGGTTAGTAAAGTCCTGAAAAGAACTGTTGTTGTTGATGCTGACTCTAAAGATGACTACCGCTAAGGTTGTTGAGAAGTCAGTCAACATCAACATCAACAGTCCTTCGCAGGACTCCACTAACCTCGACGATCTACATCTACAAACATCTACTTCACTTACTCGGCTATCTTCTTTAATTCAAGACTACAGTGTGTTACATCGTTGTCGACAAAGCTACAATGGAAAATAGGAGAAAAAGTTGTACATCGGAAATGAAAACCATGTCATCAACATAGAAGTGAACAAAAATTTCTAACAAACCGTTAAATTTCCAGAGCTCTACATACACAATTAAGGACAAATATAAGAAGAGAAAAACACCGTCAATTTTGTCAAAATAAAATTTCGTGTATTTTTCAGTTGTACCTTAAATCCAAAATTTGAGTGGCTGGTGATATGATACTGGTCTGTGATGAAACGGTGAACATTAATTTTGATTATTAAAAAATTATCTACAATGCAATCGTTTGCAATCAATTTCTATATAGCTGCACACCTCTCTATTTAAGCAACATGTTTGTATAACTTGCACAAACGACTATATTGTGGTATGGAAATAAAACAGTAGACGTAAAGGTACAAAGTACTGAGAAGAGGGGATATACTTCACGAGGCAAATTGTTGTTTTATATTGTATATGATGACAGGTTGCGGTAAGCCATTTCGGCGTTCCTTTGGCCAGAAAACATAATTGACCGGCAGCCATTTCGTTGATCACGTGCACAAGAAGACATAAGTTACATACAAACAAATAGTGCTGTTTCAACTATATTTTTTCTTATCCTGTGGTAAAAACATTGAATACCCTACCCTTACAAGTTCCTCGATGCAAGAATGGTAAATTTTGTAAATAGCTTTGGCTGATGGCGGACCAAGATACTGTTTGATGTCGGCTCTGTGGGCGAACAAATAGCGAAGTTAGATGAGAAAGTGAATTAAAAAACTTTCGAGTCACAAACATATTTTTCAACCTGTCCACGAACGCAACGTCTATGGCTCTAGTTATGTTCGATGTTGTCAATATAATTACATTAGGATGTCTGAAATAAGAAGAAAACAACATTGGGGAAGACTAGGTTTAGCAAATAAACGCATAAATGTAGTTCAAATCAAGACTTCTGTAAATACGTAATTGATAGATAATAAGTATTTGACTGAGCAAAGTTGTCATCAAGCAAGTTTGTTCATGTCATATAAATATTTTCGTGCTTTTACTCCCTGTAAAAGCGACAATATTGTAGAGAAAGAAATAATACATAGTTCTAAAGATAGCAAATACCATAGTGAATGGTAAATGTAATATAATAAGTTGATAAAGACTGTTGTCTTGGCATTATAAATATCGGTAGATTGTAAATTTTCATTCAGCAGACGTTGACACCTGAGGAGTAGTCTGCCGAAATGCATCGTGTCGTTTAATTTAGAACTATTGGGTTAGTGCTCTTTACAAAGAAAACGAAACTACGCCCGGGGGATTTTCAGAAGTTGTCTGAACCTTGGCAGTATGTTCTAGTTTCTTTTATGAGAAGAATTCTTGTAAAGAAAAAAGACAAATTTTGAAAGGAAAAAACCCCGTTTTCGGTCCATGCTTCCCGATACCTTCTTAAGCGTAAGGCACTAAAACGCGGCATGTTAACGTTTCGGTAGCAGATTTCGGCCCCTCCACGCTATCCTACTTGGGAGATGCAATAGCAAGCTTCCGCCCATCAGACCCCGAGATCACCTGCGATAGGCTTTGCTCGAGGTACGCAGGGAGAGTGCGGTCGCCACCGAAGTGTGGACCCCTAAGCCACTGCATACTATATCGCACCCAGCTTCCACTGATAGTTGACATCTACTATATGAAGCTATAGATTTATATTTATATATACAAAAATTTAGAGGCTTACGAAAGTTGTGGTATTATTATAGTCACAACTGCGCATGCCCAGATAATTTCTTTGATAATTTGCGATTAAGTGGGATAATTGCCCCAGATGTAGTGCAAGTACATCTAGTTAGTCGTTGCCATGACTATAAACAATTAGTCGAGGGCATGCGCTCGTGCGCATGCGCAGATGATTTCTCCATTAAATTGTTACTAAACATGCTATTTACTTCAAAATCGGGGCTAGTAGATGCAATTGGTCGTTGCCATGACCATGAACATTGGCAGCCAATCAATTTAACTGCGCATGCTCAGTTGATATCTTTAATAATTTGTTAATAAGCAAGTTATATACCCCTAATTGATGCTAGTAAATGTAGTTGGTCGTTTCCATGACTATCAACTCGGACAATTGGTCAAGTGGACTTTGCATGCTTGAGTGCTGCGCATGCCTGCTGCACTGCGCATGCTCAGATGATCTTCTTATATTTTTGTGACGAAGCGATTAATTACTCAGAAAGTGATGAAAATAGGTCCAGCTTGTTGTTGCCATCACTATGAATATGAAAAATTTGTTAAATGACTAAATTTCTCATTATGATTGAAATATATGATTTCCCAATATGTGACCAAATGAACCACAGAAGGATGCAAGCTTGTTCTGTTTGTCATTGCCATGATTGTAAACTCGAACAGTTTGTTGAGTTGTTTGTGCATGTTCAGATGAGTTCTCAAATAATTTAGGACTGAGGTTTAAAATATACCGTCTTAATACTTGCAACATAAATAAAATTTAACTTTGTATTACATCTACATTTAAGGCGTAAAGATGTTTTTTCTTTGTTATCGTAGTCAGTAATTATCAAGTAATGGACCACTCTCAAATAATCACGAATATTGGTTGACTTTTGTTAGGTTTCTTTGTGAGGCTCTTCTCCTTTGAACTTGCAAGGAGCAGTCAAGCGTCTCACTGTGATAAACCTACGAAGTATTCTTTCTCTCATTTTCTTGTTTACAAAAAGTTATCAACTAAGTGGTCGAACTCTTCGTAAACTGCCATTCCTTGCACATGCGCTGTATTCGAAAGTAAGTAATACGAATTAAAGCCTTCACCCGTGTTCTTTGTTGTACATGCATGTACTTACATTGTCCCTCAAACCTACGTAATAGGCACAAACGATAACCTCAGAAGAGTTTTTGAATAATCTTTCAATGATTGTTGACAAGCAGTTCAAAGAAAAGAGAATCTTTGCTCAGTTGGTGAAGAAAAAAGCGTAAGCGTGATCTTTTAACGATTGTATACTTTTATACATTCATAGAAATTTGGATATGCTTTGTTGAAGATTAAGATTTTTATTGCTCAATTTAAGTCAATTTGGTAAGATAGATCACAAAGTTTGCTAATTTATATTGGTACTTTGAGACTCCTTACATGACGTTTCCCAACACACCCGAGGTCAAATGCAGCAATGTGTATAGTTCGTTATTGAGGATAATGTGTAGATTATTTTAAATAGGGAAGGATATTTATACGATATAGTTAATTGTAACTGTTTAATTTCAACGTATGTTTACATTAAATTACATCCTTAAGCCAACTTTACTAATATTGATCGCTATTTTCATGTTATACATCTATAATCATCTTGTTAAAGATTTGAAGCTTTGCTGCGATAATACAGGTTTGTACTGCTATCTCATCTTTGTTTGTTGCCTATCTGATATATGTCAACCGGGGACCAGATTTTTATCGAGATTTATATGACATTAGAGATTGTCGTACGTCAGTCTAATATCTTGAGCATGAACGATATGTTGTTGAAAGATAAGTTTACATATACTCTAGCGTAGTGTCTTCATCAGGAGTGATCGAATGTTGAAACTTGAGTCACAATATGCTCCAGTCTTATGATTTGTCAGGAGTGATCTTTTATTGAAAGTTTCGCTAATGTTATTTAACCATGTTATCTAAAAACTTTATCCTCCATATGCATGTGAAACATGTTTTACAAATGCATGTGAAACTCGTCAACATTGTCACGGCATTCGTAATATCCATGACAACGTTAAAAATGTTTTTATTTTTCTCTACAACTTTATACCTGTGATATTGCATGTCATATCCAAGCTTTCCTTTGATTTGACGGGAAATGGTTTTTATTCACTCTTACATCTTCTGCCTTTATAATTAGTCGATCTGTATTTCTAAACTAATATTTACAAATGCCCCAAGAGAATCTTTTTAATTTATTGGCTCTCTTCTACAAATACAATACCATGTCCGACTATTTGATTGCACGAATTTTTTAATTTGATCACGTTTTTTTGACACGTGTGTTTACCATGGGAAAGATGGTTGCTTAAATGTACCTAGTTGTTTAGACTACTTGGATCCATAGTTATCCTGTAATGTATACTCTTGTGAAACACCAATGAGCATACGTAGTGTGTTTTCTATAACCTCTATTCTTGTTCTCCACTTCATCATCTATCCATATTTGTTCTTTTAGTTCTCAGCTCAACACAACCCTTGTCTGAAGTTCCTAAAACCTTCATCTACCCAAGAAAGATCTCTGGTGGTAACATGTTAGGTATGGCTAGTGGTTGGTCATCGTCATTGAGTCTTGTGACACCAGTTCAGTATACGTTAATTGTCCTGAAGACGTTGAGGAGGTTGCTAGTAAAGCGTCGCCTAAACCAGAAGGTAGTTTTCATGGTATGCTAACGGATTACGCAAACGTTGTTTGAAAGAAGTTCACATAAAATGGTTATGGTCTCGTTCCATCGTATTCTGAGAAGGTTTCATGTTCATCCTGAATCTTTCACCAATGTTACAAATACTTTTGAAATTGTCGTTTTAATGATTATTATTTTAGAGCATAGACATTGAAAAATCTTATGGTAGTGTACAGGTATTTTCAACATTTTTTTGTTGAAAAATTCTCTAGTTTCAATTCTTCGAAATTTCTCATCTTAATTTTCACCTTTATTTAGAATCCTTTCGATACGAGAAATCGTGGGGATTTGAGGTACTTTATACGATATATTGAATTTAAGTTTTATAGCGTTAATAACTCTCATCTGTTCATCGTAACTTTGCTATAATTCTATGGATAAATTATGTTTTATATATAACAGATTATTGATGATCCTACTTCACCTGAAGGTGTTCAGCAAGAACGACGTATGAAGTTACTGTCGTTAATTAATAATATAGCCCTTGATAAAGGGTTGGATGGTCGAAATTATTAATGTCATGGTTGTTTCAGACCAATTGGAATGAGTATGATCAATGAATTCTCGACTTGTTATTTCCTAATAACTCAAATATATTTATTTTCAAATTTCTTAGCTTAATAAATGTTATCTTTGTAGAAACGATTATAACAAAGTACATAATCCCTTTTTTCCGTGAAGCCCATGGATGCGTTCGTTCATGATGAAAGAGTCATATTGTATATGAGGCTCTCGTTCATCACGAGAGTTATGATAAAATACGTTGTAAAGGTACTAAGTAAAAATATATAAACATGCTTAGTGTTTGTTTAAATTATAGTTCAAAAGGCAGAAGTTGTTTGAAGCTTTGAAGTATCCATGGACGTTCTAGTTTTTTTTATGAGAAGAATTCTTGTAAAGAAAAAGACAAATTTTGAAAACCAAAGAATCCCGTTTTTGGTCCATGCCTCCCGATACCCATAGATAGTTGATCACTAGAGCGTCGCTTGTTAACTAAGGGAACCACATAATCCTTGTTTGTTTTCCATGAAACATATGGATGGTTTGCTCGTGATACATGAGAAACA